AGGATCTGAAGTGAGCTCTCTGCTGACAGCAGACAACCCGACGCAGGGTGGAACTCATGAACCACGAGATCATGATCTGAGCTGAGGTCAGACGTTTAACCAGCTGAGCCACTGAGGCGCCCCTGCCCTTGTTTGTTTGTTTGTTTAAATGTTTATTTTTGAGACAATGCAAGAGACAGAGCATGAGCGGCAGAGGGGCAGAGAGAGAGGGAGTCACAGAATCTGAAGCAGGCTCCAGGCTCGAGCTGTCAGAACAAGACCAGCCAGGCGCTCGAACCCTAAACTGTGAGATCATGACCTGAGCTGAAGTTGGACACCTAACCGACTGAGCCTCCCAGGCGCCCCTGCCCTTGGTTTTTATTTTTTTTATTATTTTATTTTATTTTTTTTTAGATATGGTAACAGGATACTAATGAGGTTAACATTTTAATGTTTATTTAGTTCTGAGACAGAGACAGAGTGTAAACAGGGGAGGGTCAGAGAGAGAGGGAGACACAGAATCCGAAGCAGGCTCCAGGCTCTGAGCTGTCAGCACGGAGCCCGACATGGGATTCGACCCCACGAACTGTGAGATCATGACCTGAGCCAAAGTCAGACGCTTAACCGACTGAGCCACCCAGGCGCCCCTGCCCTTGGTTTTTTTTTTTTTTTTTTTTTTCCCAACGTTTATGTATTTTTTGGGACAGAGAGAGACAGAGCATGAACGGGGGAGGGGCAGAGAGAGAGGGAGACACAGAATCGGAAATAGGCTCCAGGCTCCGAGCCGTCAGCCCAGAGCCTGACGCGGGGCTCAAACTCACGGACCGCGAGATCGTGACCTGAGCCGAAGTCGGACGCCTAACCGACTGAGCCACCCAGGCGCCCCTGCCCTTGGTTTTTAAAGCCGAGTAATATTTCAGTGTGTGGATGGACCCCATTTTATTTATCTACACATCCACGGGTGGACACATTGTAGCTGCTGAGAATCATGCTCCCGTGAACACAGATGTGCAAATAGCACTTTGAGTTCCTGCTTTCATCTTTCTCGGGTGCACACCTAGGGGCAGACTTGCTAGGTCATATGGAGACTCTGTGCTTCCCTTTGTGAGAAACCGCCAGACTGTGTTTCACCATCTTACCAGCCACGCACAAGGATTCCGCTTGGCCCACATCCTCTCTAATCCTTATTTTCTGTTTTTGCTTAAAAAAAAAAAAAAAAAAATTAGAGGGCGCCTGGGTGGCTCAGTCGGTTGAGCGTCTCACTTCAGCTCACGGCGTGATCTCGCGGTTCGTGACTTCGAGGCCCGCGTCAGCCTTTGTGCTGATAGTGCAGAGCCTGCTTGGGATTCTCTGTCTCCCTTTCTCTCTGCCTTTCCCCTCCTCACACGTGTGTGTGTGTGTGTGTGTGTGTGTGTGTGTGTGTGTGTGTGTAAAATAAATGAACATTAAAAAAATAATAGCTATCCTAGTAAGTGTGAAATGGTGTTTCACTGTGGTTTTGATTTGCGTTTCCCTGATGCCTAATGATGTTGAGCATCTTTTCGTGTGCTTGTTGGCCATTTGTAGATCTCCTTGGGGAAATGTGAGAGCCACAAGGTTTCTTTAATTAGTATTTTTTACCGTTTGCTTAGTTTTGAGAGAGAGAGAGAGAGAGAGACAGAGCATGAGCAGGGGAGGGGCAGGGAGAGAGGGTGACACAGAATCCCATGCAGGCTCCAGGCTCTGAGCTGTCAGCACAGAGCCCGACGCGGGGCTCGATCCCACGAACCGTGAGATCGTGACCTGAGCCGAGATCAAGAGTCGGGTGTTTAACTGACTGAGCCCCCCAGGTGCCCCGAGGTCTGCAAGTTTTTAATTAGGAAAATAAAATCTTCAGCTTGGTCAACACGCCATGTCTCCAGTGTGCTCTTGTCTCTTCCAGAAACCTTGAAGACCCGAAGTGCTGATGCAGGCATTGAGTTTGGTGCACTGTCCGCAACCCAAGCCTCTCAGGCCGCCGGTCCTTCCCCGTGGGTGGGGGGTTCACTCTTTCTGCCAGTGGTGCCTTTCCAGCTGGAGCAAGGAGCAGCTGTGTGGTTGGGGGGGGAAGGAACTCCCCAAACCTCCTGTTCAGGTGAGAGCCAGGCAGATAAGAGCCACTGAATGGGGGCGGCGTCTTGGGGACTGCAGGTCACGGGTCTCTCCACAGACGCCCTCTTGCATAAGGAGAAGGTTGAGGTCTTTGGTTGCAGTTTCTCAGATACCTTCATTCATTCTCCAGCAGGCTTGTCCTGTGCGCTGACTTCTATAAGCCTTTGGGTGCAGAGGAAATATATCTCATTTCTTTCTTTTCTTTTTCCTTTTTTTTCTTTTTTTAATGTTTATTTGAGGGAGGGAGAGAGAGAGAGAGAGAACGAACATGAGTGGGGGAGGGGCAGAGAGAGGGGGAGACACAGAATCTGAAACAGGCTCCAGGCTCTGAGCTGTCCGCACAGAGCCCGACGCGGGGCTCAAATCCACGAACTGTGAGATCGTGACCTGAGCCGAAGTCGGACGCTCAACCGACTGAGCCCCCCGGGCGCCCCTCATTTCCTTCTGGAAGCTATTCTACCTGTGTTTCCTGTTACATATCTTCCCTCTCTGCCTTCTTGACAATTCTTTCTCCTTGCCATTCTCATCCCCCCTCCTTTGTAGGGCCATCCCTTCTACATTTACATTCCCCCCCGTTTTCCATCATCGGCAAACTTCTTACACTGCGTCCTGGCCTCGGGAGCTTTTCCTGTTTTCTCCCTGTGTTGAGCGCTGATACTTGAACGCGGATTCACATGTACCTCATGCATGTTGGAAGTACTTTTGTGCCGCCGTTATTAAGTTAAAAGTTTCTTCTCTCCCCCCCCGTTTTCTCAATTTATTTCAGATTTGGCTGCCATACTGAAAAGCCAAGAGTCATCTTGTAAGAAGGTGGTTTGGGGGGAAGAACCACCCAGTGGTATGACTATAGTAAAGCTTCCCAAAGGAGACTGGGGCTATGGTCAACTTGAGGAGAATCGTGAAGCCCTGCACAGGCTTTTGAGGCAGCTGGCGTACCCCCAGGCGGAGGTGTTTGCTCAAAGGGAGACCACTGCCTGGCATGAGTTTGGGGAAGCCTGTAGTATGAGCTCAGACCTTGCTTCATCTCAAGGAGGTTCTATAGAAGAACATTCCCACGACTGTGGTCTAGATATTGAGAGTTTGGTAGCTAATCCATTCTTAAACCATCATCGGATGGCATATACAGATCAGAGACCCTGTGAAGGGAACGAATGTGGAAAAGACGTCAGCCACAATAGTGCCTTCAGTCAACACAACAGAGCCGCCGAAAGCGGGGAATCATTTCCTCACGGTATGGCTCTCACAACACACAACACGGTGAATACAGCGGGGAAACCCTACGAATGTCACCACTGCGGGAAAGTGTTTAACCGGAGGCATTCCCTGAGTGAGCATCAGAGAATCCATACAGGAGAGAGACCATATGAATGTCAGGAATGTGGGCGAGCCTTTACGCACAGCTCAACCCTCACACGACACTTGAGAACTCATACTGGAGAGAAACCCTATGCGTGCAGCGAATGTGGGAAAGCCTTTAACAGGATTTCGTCTCTCACCCAGCACCAGAGGATTCACACAGGGGAAAAGCCCTACGAATGCAAAGACTGCGGAAAGTCCTTCTGCCAGAGTTCTTACCTGGTCTTGCACAAGAGAACGCATACGGGCGAGAAGCCCTATGAATGTAACGAGTGTGGAAAGGCCTTCAGTGATCGTTCCTCGCTTAACCAACACGAGCGGACTCACACCGGTGAGAACCCCTATGAATGTAATCAGTGTGGAAGAGCCTTCAGTCAGAGGTCTTCCCTCGTGAGGCACGAGAGGACTCACACTGGAGAGAAACCGTACGGCTGTAGCGAATGTGGGAAAGCGTTCAGCCAGAGCTCGTCCCTTATCACACATCAGAAAACTCACACCAGTCAGAAAACCTATAAAATAATTGATTGTGGGAAAGCTTTCTATCAGAGCAGCAACCTCATTGGGTTTTAGAGACCACTTGCTGCCTGTAAGGTACCTTTTAGCTCTCTGCTACAGAAGTATGGTTAGATTTTGCCCTTCTGATGGGACTGTTTGAAAAGAAGTAGGCTTCTGCACGTTCTTTTTTAAAAAAAAAATTTTTAACGTTTATTTATTTTTGAGACAGAGAGAGACAGAGCGTGAACGGGGGAGGGGCAGAGAGAGAGGGAGACACAGAATCTGAAACAGGCTCCAGGCTCTGAGCGGTCAGCACAGAGCCCGACGCGGGGCTCGAACTCACAGACCGTGAGATCATGACCTGAGCCGAAGTCGGATGCTCAATCGCTCAATTGACTGAGCCACCCAAGCGCCCCATGCACGTTCTTGAAGAAAAGCTCCGAGGTCTAGATCTGAGAAGGGACCTTTTAGTGGGGGAAATTGCCATTGAGCTATGCCGAGTGGGGCGTGTCCTTTTGGAAAAGATTGATAAATGTGAACAGCAATGTGGAAAGGGATTTTGCTGAGAATCGTCATACTAATTTAGTTGTTGAAACAGAGTACCTTTTGTTTCAAAATTCAGTATTAAAAAAAGATGTTTATTATGGGAAGAGATTATGCTAGCAAGAGAGGGGCAGAGAAAGATGGGGAGAGAGAGAGAGAGAGAAAATCCCAAGCTGACAGCACAGACGCAGGGCTCGAGCCCACCAACCACGAGATCACGACCTGAGCCGAATTTGGACGCTTAACTGACTAAGCCACCCAGGTGCCCCCAATTCAGTACTTTTGTTTCAATAGTCTGTTTCAGTATTTTACTTAGTCATCCTGCCCCTGTCGGTCCCTTAGCTAGGTGCTAACTTGTTTCGTGCCCGGCTGTGTCAACACAGAACGTGTGCTCACACGGAAAGAGCTTTGGGTGCACAGTGAAAAATAAAGCGTGCAAAATGGTATGTGTGACTCCGTCCAGTGTATTCTGAGTATGTACATAAACGGACAAAGGCTGGGCAGAGATGTGGAGGAACTGGACAGAGTTTGTTTGTCAGAGTTACCTGATGATGTGTGGTTTCCTGCCTTTTGTCATTTTGTCTGGCGTTGCTATAATCGTTTTGACGGTAGGTAGAAATCAAACGACCCCAAGGGATATCGGATTTCTTTGATCAGGATTGCCGATGCCATGGTGGGGAGGGTAGAGTGCAGTCGGTCTCGGGACAGCGGGGAGTGGAGCAGCCTTTGACAGCTTGGGAGAAATCCCACCCGCGAGGCGGACTTGCCTGAGTGGAGACCGAGAGCTCTGATGTGTACCATCACCAGCACCAGCGTCACCTGTTGGTTGCTTGCTCTGTTTCCAGCACTTCTGTGTGGTTCATCATTGACTCTCACCAAGCCCAAGAGATAGTAGCTGTTCACCTGCCGACATTACAAAAGGGCAAACAGAAATAAGGGAGCTTGTCCAGAGTCAGATGACTAGACGGTGCCGGACCCAGGATTTGAACCTGAACGACCTGTACAAGGGCCCATGCCACATTTGGATGCAGGGGGACTGTGCTTTCTAAATTCTCCCTTGGAAGTCATTTGACCTTTGTCTAGATCTTCCCCTTTCTCTGCGGCTGATGAGGAAGGTTGCCTGTCGGGTCTCCTCTCACCTAAGTGGTACCTGGTCACGTCGTTTGTTGCTGCCTTTCTCTAAAGTAGGGATCCCTCATCTGGTGTCTGTGTAGACCCTACTGGGCTGACGGATACGTTTCTTTAAGGGCTCCACGAGCAGTCTTGTGCTCGATGCAGGATCTATGTTGGGGCATAGCGCGTCATCTGGGGAGGCATCTGTAGCTTTCATCCAGTTCTGAGGGCTGGCTGACGTCGGGGTGTCACAAGCGCACTGTTTTCCGGTCTCTATCCCTTGCTCCCTCCAACAGTTGTGGGGAACTCCTTGTGCTAGGTGGCTGTGCGTAAGGTGGATGAGGTGTCTGCCCTCCCTGCACATATATTCGAGGAGTGGGGAAGCAGGACGGCCTCGTCGGTTGTGATATGTGCAGTCACCCAAGTGTGTCTCACAAAGGTCCTGTGATTGGTTAAATACTCTAGTGTATCCATATTGATATTCTTTTTTCTTTTATGTTTATTTTTGAGAGAGAGCATGAGCTGAGCAGGGGCAGAGAGAGACGGAGACACAGAATCCGAAGCAGGCTCCAGGCTCTGAGCTGTCAGCACAGAGCTTGATGCAGGGCTCGAACCCACGAACCATGAGATCATGACCTGAGCCGAAGTCTAGTGCTTAACCGACTGAGCCACCCAGGTGCCCTATATATATGTGTATATTTTTTAATGTTTATTTTTGAGAGAGAGAGCACAAGCAGGATACAGGCAGAGAGAGGGAGAGAGAATCCCAGGCAGGCTCTGTGCCATCAGCATAGAGCCTGACACAGGGCTTGATCCCACAAATCATGAGATCATGACCTGAGCCAAAATCAAGAGTTGGACGATTAACCGACTGAGCCGCCCAGGTGCCCCCCATCTTGATATTCAGAGGATCCCCCTGCTATGTTTTCATTTTGCAGTGAACTCTGCTCATTGTATAGCCAGATCCATGATGGAGTGAGGGGCAGGAACAGATGTGAAATAGCTAACCAAATACTTTAATTAAATAATTGCAGATTTTGGTAGTGCTCTTGGGGATGTAAACAGGATGATGCCGTGATAGATAAAAAGAGAGTGACTAACCTCGGGGCCTTTCTGACAACCTGATATTTAATTTGAAATGTGAGTCACTGGAGCTTCCAAGGTGAGGCCTTTAACCAGAGGAAAGCTTTCGTTTAGCTTTGTTTTCACATATTTCAAAACTATTTAGAGGGGCACCTGGCTGGCTCAGTTAGTAGAGTGTGTGACTCTTGATCTCAAGGTTGTGAGATTATGGACACGGAGCCCATTAGGAAAAATATTTACAACATTTTTTTTTTTAATTTATCTCAAAGTATTTTGAGAGAGAATGTATATATATATTTTCAATTTCTTGGTGTTTAAATGCCCATCTCCCTCTCTTTAAAAACAAATTCTTTTTCTTGTCTGATTGCAATGGCTCAATCCTTTAGTACAATATTGAACAGGAGTGTTGAGAACACACCTCCTTGCTTTATTCCAGATCTTAGGGAAAAGCATTCAGTCCTTCACCATGGAGTATGATGTTTTCTGTGGACTTTCTGTAGATCCCCATTATCTTTATTATCTTGTTAAGTTTCTGCTTTATTGTGCTGTGGTCTGAGAATGTGTCTAGTGTCCTGAATCTTTGAAACGTGTTGAGTTTCATTGTGTGGTGTACCCTGTGATCAAGTTTTAAAACGTTCTCTAGATCTTAGGGAGAAGCTGTGTTCTTTGTTTTTATGCTTTGGAATCTGGCTTGCCTGCTGCATCAACCTTTTTAATCATTGGCTGTCAAATTTCACGTCAGGACGTTCAGATTTAACAAGTAAGAGTTGGTGCCCAGTAATGTGCATTAAAATTTTTTTTTAAAATGTTTATTTATTTTTGAGAGAAAGACAGAGTGCTAACAGCAGATGGGCAGAGAGAGGGGGAGACACAGAATCCGAAGCAGGCTCCAGGCTCTGAGCTGTCAGCACAGAGCCCGACGTGGGGCTTGAACCCACGAACCGTGAGATCATGACCTGAGCCCAAGTAGGACGCTTAACCGACTGAGCCACCCAGGCACCCCACCTCTGCTTTTTAAACAAAACTAGCCTTTAATTTTGGAATAATTTTTCACCTCCTGTGAATTTCAACCTTTAAAATTCCTTGCATCTCTCATTTTTAGTGCATAATTGAATTTTGCTTTAGGGTTCAAAGCAGAAAATCCATTTGTTTTTATTTTTATTTTATTTTATTTTTTTTTTTTTTTTTAAGGAGAAAGATTTTTTTTTTCAACGTTTTTATTTTATTTTTGGGACAGAGAGAGACAGAGCATGAACGGGGGAGGGGCAGAGAGAGAGGGAGACACAGAATCGGAAACAGGCTCCAGGCTCTGAGCCATCAGCCCAGAGCCTGATGCGGGGCTCAAACTCACGGACCGCGAGATCGTGACCTGGCTGAAGTCGGACGCTTAACCGACTGCGCCACCCAGGCGCCCCATCCATTTGTTTTTAAAGGACACATTTATGCCAACTATTGCTTTGTTAATGTTGTTGGCTTTAATTCTGATGTATTTTATGTCGTTTTTCTTATTTTTGAAGCTTTTATTTTCTGTCTTCTACTGTTGTTTGTATTGGTGGAGTGTATTTCTTTGCTGGTGTTTTTGGAAGGTGTATTTCCTGCTTCAGTTTCTTTTGGCATTTTATTTTATTACATTAAACCCTATAATGAAACCTGTAGTGATTATCAATATTAAGCAGCTTTCGTAGGATAAAAAGGTCGAGTCACAGAGTGTGTATAGTATATAAGGGCACTTTAAAATTGAAAGTCGGGAAAATGTTATATGTAGTTTGTGGATCCAAATGTATGTCATGGCAATAATACGCACTAAATTTGTGATTATGGTTTCCTCTGGGAGGACGTGGAAGGGATCTTGGGATTCTGGAGGTGATACACAGGGCGTTTCAACTCTATCTGTGATGTTTTCTTTCTATTTTATCTTATTTTATTTATTTTTTATGTTTATTTTTAAGAAAGAGAGAGAGTGAGAGAGACAGCGTGAGCGGGCAAGGGGCAGAGAGAGAGGGAGACACAGAATCTGAAGCAGGCTCCAGGCTTCGAGCGGTCAGCACAGAGCCTGACACGGGGCTCGAACCCATGAACTGTGAGATCATGACCCGAGCCGAAGTCGGATGCTCAACCCACTGAGCCACCCAGGCACCCCTGTAAAGTATCAGATTTCTTTCAAGAAATCTGATAGAGGATGGTAAACCGATAGGATTTCATACACCTTGGCAGTAGATACAGGAGTATTGAAAATGTTGCGGCATGTTCTGTATGGTTGAAATGTTGGGGGACGGGTTGAAAGTGCTCCCCTTCTCCCCCTGTTGTGGTTATCATTAGGAGATACTTCTTTGAGGAATGCAAAAACCAGCCCTCCCAACGCCTTACGAATGGATGCTTACGGTTTGGATAAAATCTCTAGTCAGAATATCATCTATCTGAAAAGTGCTACCTTTCAAACACAAAGATGCAAAGACATTGTTCTCTAAAAAACGGTCAGATCGCTCCAAGATGCGCCGCTGTGGGAGCAGAGTCATGTTGAAGGAGCCCGTGGAAAGTTCAAAGTCGTCTCACAAAAACTCAGGCTGGGAAGAGGCGTTCTTTGTGCCCCATGCTGAGGCATTTTCCTCTGCTTCAGAGCCGTCTTGTGAACTTCCTGTGACTGCTGTAACAAATTCCTGCATACTTAGTGACTTAACCAATTTCTTACAACAGTTCTGGAGCTCAGAAGTCTAAAATCAAGGTGTTGGCAAGGCCGTCTTCTTTTTTTTTTTTTTTTTTTTT